ATTTGAAGGCTATAGTGATGTAGTATGATGCCATTTATATTCTGCAGTGAGTCGATGTGACGTGGATAAAAGTAATTTCGTGCAATTTGTAAATTCTGTTCGATGACACTGTAACGATTTTACGAACATTGCGCGATTCAATGAGGACATTGACCGGACTGTCCGGTGAGTATGTGGCATTCGACCAGAATGGCCAAAATGCAATTTATGCAGACTTCGAATTTTTAGCAGTAGGCCTTCCGGATTGATGATTATTAAGAACTAAGAACGTTATTGGAACGATTGGCCAAACGGTGAGGGCTGGAATATTCTAGTATTTTTAAATTTCACAAAGTCGAATTATGACGTCATATTTCTGAGAAACGTCAGAAACGGCCATTTTGACTAAAACGAGAAAGAAAAAGAGAACAACATTAGCTGCGCTAGCAACAACAACGAAATTGAGATCGGAAAACAACAACGAGTTACAGAGTAACAGAAGAACACTCCGAGTTGCAACTATTGTGCTGCTACAATAGTTGCAAGGCCGTTGCGAACAACGGTGAAGGGTAAGAGACAGCCTTCCGGAATAGGAGGAAATCAAGATTAACGAGCTTGATTTAGCGGATTCGTCAATCCGGAAGGGTAAAGGAACTGAAACTTTTATCCTGCCACGTAAACTTTTAGCATCCTGTCATGTCCTGACTTGAATTTAATTGATATTTGGATTAGTTTTGACAAGGATGAGGTGCTAGGAGTTGGGGGGGAGAGGGTTGATCCATCTTCGATGGAGATGATGATTTTTATCTACTGAACAAAAACAATAGTAATATAATAAGTAGTAGCCCTGTTTTTAGGAGTGACCTCGTGGTCTGGGGATACTGAGACCCAGCCATGAGCTCACTAGTTGCATGTAATTAAGTTAATTTGAGCGTTCTGGTCGAAGCCGGAGAGCAGTAACGTTTTTGTCGATCCGATGTTAGAAAGACCACCGAAAAGTACTGGCTTGGTAGAGACGGTGAAAAGCATGCAAAGCTCTGTTTGGACGTTAGCCAGTCGTCTTAAGACTTTTGTTATCCGTCGATATGTATCTTCCGGGCGAATGTTACATTAACACCGGGTCGACAAAATCGTTACTTTTTTGGGCTTCGGTCAGAACGTTCAGATTAACTTGATTATATGCAAAAATTGTGAGTTCATGGCTGGGCCTCGGTATCCCCAGATCACGAGGTCACTCCTTATAACAGGGCTACAAGTTATTTATTATACTACTATTGTTTTTGTTCAGTGGATAATAATCATCATATTCATCGAAGTTGGATCAATCCTTTCCCTCAACTCCTAGCTTCTAATTATCTGAAAACGAATTCAAATGTTTTTAATTCAATTCAGGACATGCCAGGAAGCTAAAATTTTCAAAAATGGAGTTAGTTTCCTCTTCGAGACCCTTCCGGATTCTGGAATCCGGACGAAGGGCGATCTTATTGTCCTTCCGGAAGGCTGGCACAGTCGTCCCAATATCCTTCCTGTTTCTCGGTAAATCTTTGCTAACGATTGTACAGTCACAATCGTTACTATTGAGAATGGTCTTCCATTAAGGTCAACCACTGTAATTCTTTCTTTCGTGGCTATGTTTTCTTCGTCTTGTCTGTTTCAACGAATCTTGTTCTTCTGTTTTTTCTTATTTTCAGTTGTCGCAAAACTTCAAGGTCGTGACGTGTCTTTAATTTGAAACACATTTCAAAAAATTATTATGTCACGCCAAATTGACTATTCCCGATTCGTTAAATCGTTCGATTAGTATTGCTACTCTGCTAAAACCGCCAATTTTTGCAGTTCACGATCACAATAAAACTTCAAAGTCGCCATGCGTTTTGGCGCCATACTGTTGAATGTCACAATAAGAGCAAAAGGTGATCTCTGCTTTGTTAGGGCACTCAAATTTGAATGTCAATAGAGAATCTTTGCAAATTGGAGGCAGGAAAGGCCATACCATTTGTAGGGAATCGAAAGTAGTTCTCAAGAAAAGTCAAGGTTAAAACCTAAAATTATATGAGATTTTATGATGTCTGAGAAATGACATCATTGATTTTTGATAAAGACACTCAGACAAACGACTTGTGAATTGTTAGAAAATAGTTTTACATAGTTTTGTAGATTAAGCATGTAGACAAGCATGTAGAAACGAAATTGAGAGGATCCATAATATTGCTCAGCTAACATTAGCGATATTAAAGAGGAAAACGGGTAAACCCGGGACAATCAAAGAACCTTTGAATCTCCCGAAACCAGTTGGCAAACATACAACCATGACAGAATCTTAACTTTTATAATTTATAAATCAAAGCTATTTTCTATAAACTACTGTGACAACTCTTAGGTATATAATATTGAGAAATTGAGAAATTAATGAAATAGTGAAAAACGAATTTGATTATTTCCAACTTAGCAGTTGCACGGACACTTGCAGTGATACACCCGTCCTTCTACAGTGGCGACAGAGAAAACAACAAGAGTCAAAAATAACACGAGAGTTTCAATAAAAAACTAGAAAATAAATCGAATTTATCAAAAGTTGTTGACCAAGTTGGCAAATCAAAAGAATATCAATAGAAATGTTAAAACACGGTAAACATAAGTTCAATGATGAAACCAGTTAGAGTAGATAAAAAATGATTGATTCGTTTTTTCACTGTTTTGGGTTGTAATTTTCCAACTCTTCCTGAAAAACAAGAAGTAATTGGTTGATGTCAACAAAAGTCTGAAGAAAGAAGAACTGAAAAAAAATTAAAATTGTTCAAAAAAAACATTTTCTGAAATAACAGCGGATAAACTGTAATTGGAAAGACCTAAAAGAACGTTATTTAAAGCTGAAGTCCGTGAATAAGTCCTAGAATAACTCCAACTAAAGGGATAACTTAATTAATAATTAAGCAGGTTGGAATTAAAGTATGGCAACGATAGTTCGGTCTCAAAGATGTTATTACCGGACACATTCACTGGTTCTAACGACTTCGAAACTTATTTAACACGCTCTGAGCTAATAATTGAACTCCAACACTGGAAATGTACTGTGAGTGGAACCGAAACTGATGAACAGCCGCATTATTTTGCGTTTAGTTTGCAGAAATCTGCAATCGAATTTGATCGTACTCTTCCAATTGCTACTAGATATAGCTATGATGAGACCGTTAAAGCTTTTTTGAAGGCATAACAGCGAAAAACCAGTGGCCTTTCAACGACGGCTTGAGCGTGCAGCAGGCAGGTGAAAAATTATTAGAATACTTTAGAGCGGGCGCTTCACCTGGAAGCTGTCATGAGAACTGGGGAATAAGAACAAGCACCGCGAGTAGCAGCCACACGGAGGGATGAAGCAGAAATGCTAATAGACTCGGGGAACAGACTTGTTTAACAGATATCGGTCGGTATTGAAACCAATAACCGCAGCAGTGACGGTCGATGAGACGGCAGTCACATGGAAGGAAGTCGACGCTAAGGGAACCAATATAGGTAACCAGGTTCAAGAGATGGAGCAAGAACTCCCACCCCTAGACCAAATACGCGCAAAAGAATCCCAGGAAAGAACTATGACAAATGTCGACTATGTGGGCAAAAAGGTCATTGGGCAATGAACTGCAGTAATTGTTTTACTTGTGCTAGTTTGACCCCTATTAAGCGAAATTGTCCTTGAAATAGAACGACGGAACAAACCAACAAAATCAGGGAGTGCTCCACTAACAAAGCCAAATGTTTCAATGTGGAGTTACAACTGAATGGCAAACTGGTAACGAGACTGTTAGACAGCGTTCGCTCATAAGTTTCGACAATTAGAAATGGCTTGGAAAACTGGGAAACCTGAAGGCTTTCAAAACTAAAATTTTAGTATCTATCAACTCGGCGTTAAAATTATTTGGCATTGCGTACATCAAAATCTAATTGAAGCCCAATTTCACAGAAAGTAAGTGGAAGTTTTTGAAAACGTAGATAACTGCCTACACTGCTTCTTGGTCTGCCTTTCATGATAGATAAAGAAGGTTTTTTGTACATTGGGGAACTATTGCTGTACAACACGAAACATTGGACATCGCTACCTATATCAGCACAAACAACGACTGGATTTCAAAATTTTGCAATTGCAGCGTGAAATTAACGAGTAACCAGCAGACATTAAAAACTGGTAAAAAAAAGCATCAAAGATGAAAACGATACCACCCTCAGTTGCACAGAAGGTTTCATTGAAGGTTCACAGAGTTTCAAAGGAACAAACCGAACTACTTGTAGCTGATTCACTGATGAGTTTTAGCCAAAGAAAACTTCTCGTGAAAAAATGAACATACAAAATGAAGCTATTAACATATTTCATGACAGCAAAGATGCTCATTGCAACAATTAAAAAACAGGATTCGAATAAACTGAATCTTTAGTAGCAAGGATTGACCGCTGAATCAGTAGCCTTTACAAATAGATAACTATGTTAGGCTCGGTGGTGTTTAATTTTCATCAGAAGCAAACAAGAAAGAACAGATGGGAGTTGATAGACATAACCCAGTCCTTTCATACAGTTCAGCGGACTTAGGATCTTCAGATAGAATCAAGCACAAATCAAAATGAATGCTGATGCAAAACAATTTCGGCGGGCATACGGAAGTATGAACTTTGAAAAAAGGAAAGTCATGAAAAATATCGCGGAGTCATTGGAAAAAGGCAACCTAGTTGAACCAATTCATTGAAAATGCGCAGCCCCATCCTCATTCGTTAAGAAAAAGAACAGAACGCACCGATTAGTCGTTGATTATAGACGATTAAAAAGTCAGATTGAAACAAGCTGGCCTCTACCAACAATATGTGATGTTATCGACTCATTGGACGCTAACAAGTTTTTCTCTAATCTCAATTTGCTACACGAAACTTATGGAAATTTTGGTTACGTAAAGACTTTTCAAAGATTCAAAGAACTCAATAAAAGTTAAACAGAACTAAAACGAGCAGACATATGACATGATTTGACCCAAATATTGCGCTGATACACATCGCCACACAGGCTGAAAATATTGTAAACATCTTGCAACTGCCGGCAGTTTTTATTGAATGGAATTTAAGAAAGAACTTACGCCTTTTTGTGCAATCGTGCGCTGAGCAACATCAATGCCTTGTTTCCCCAGAGTTACGAGTGCTTGCGAGCCCAACTCTTTCAATCACTCAATGTATTGATCAATTTCCTAAAATAGCTAAAATTATGTTTCTTAAGTGACAGCAAATAAATTTACAACAGTGTTACCTGTTCATTTTTCACGAGATACGGATGGAGCAGCTGTCGGAAGATGAAACTGGATCCTTTGAAGGTTGGCAAAAGAAGCCAAACTACAAATAAAATCTTCAACTCGTAGTAGAACGGAAACCTAAAAGAAAGCGTTGGGCGGAAAAAAATAATCGTTTAAAAAAAACTAATAGTTTTCGGAAACCAAACGTACCAAGACAAAAATATGTCTGTGAAATTTTCTAGAACTGCAAAAATGGCGAACACAATCCAGTACATCATCCATCTTGCCTGAATATGGAAAATTTTTATTCAGCTGAACAAAAAATAAATTATCAGCTTAAACTATAACTGTACAGAACTGTTTTATTTTACCAGAAGACGCAATGCCTGATCAAATTTTTCAGCAGACTTTGTAGTGATAAAAATCAAATTATATCTCAAAAACTACATTCGTTTACTCACATATTCCCTGGCGTTCTTTGATTTGACCGCTTTGAATGAGGCATATGCGGGGTACAGATTACCAAGCACCAAACTAAAACATATACAAGGATAGCCAATTGTAGTGCGAGTAGCACAGAATGTTCCGACCAAAATAATTAAAAAAACAGCAACTGTTGTTTTAAGTCAGTGGTGTTATTCGAGAACTACACGATCACGTAGATAATTAGTGAATTAGGCATGATCGACATTTGTCTTCAACAAATTAATAAATTAAACTTTTTGCAAAATATTTTTTTAAGTTTTTTTAGAGAACTATTTTGCCAAAAAAGCGCTAAATGAACGGTCGAAAATTACTATTACTTTTCTCTATGGTAAAATCAAAGTTTTTTATGCCAAACCTCTAAAAACAGTAAATTTCCCTGAAACGAGCGTAACTTGCTCAGAATTAGACAAATCTTAATAACCTCCTAATTTTTTCTCCACATTGGGAAAACTTTATGAATCACTACTGAAAGGTCTTTAATATGATATATCACTCGAACCATTCCGATGATTATTTGTGGTACCTGATTTTGCGTGGAAAAACTATAACACACCTGAATACACAGTTCCTCCAATTTTGGAACACATTGTTAGATAAAACATAATAAATTGAATTACAAAACATTCGCTTACATTATGATTCGTGAAACAAGCTGCGAAAACATGCTGTAATATTACATTATACTTTCTGAAAGGAATTCGATTAAACTGGGAAAAACATAAAGAGTTTCACGTAGCAGTCTAGCAATATTCTGGAAGCAGTCTTGTATTGTAAGAGATGAGCTTGTCTAAGATCGACTCGAAACTCTGTAAACGGGATGAAATTAATTTTACGGTATGCAGTAAATAAAATTCTCAGCCAGAAGGTTAAAAGTATCATCCGAGGTTACAGTCAGGTGTCCGTTCCTCACATATTGCAGTCAAAACCCTTGGAATTTTCTAGATATGGAAAAGATAATGGGAGATAAAAAATTAGATGATTAGTGTTGATGTGTTTAAAATTAAACTGGATACGGGTTACGTTTCTACAATAAGAACACGCAACTCGAAACGTGAAAATATATTCTTACAGAGCTAGTTCAAAAAAAAATCCGTGTTGTGTCTGGCCGCTCCCTGAATCTCAAAAGCTAGCGGTATCCATCATCTACTAAGTCTTAGAACTTATCAATTATTTCGCTCATCCGCTTCAGCGGCTCTCGTAGCAGGTTACAAACCGACCCCGCACTAATCCTACTGGTGGCTAGGTAGTCTGATCTCGTTAAACCCCGAAAGATATGCATACCAACAGCACATGCGGCGAGCGTCGAACCGTCTGGTGGCTTCTGATCTGTCCTGTAGAGGTGTTGTAGCTCTCAAATAGTAGGAATAAGAGCAGAAGATGATCTCTGATTTGTGAGGGCAGGAACATGTAACTTTCGTCCGGAAGTACATATTGACGGAAAAAAAATAGGTTGTAAAACGACTGTATGGTCCTTTTAACACCGGGTCGACAAAATCGTTACTGTTTTAGGCTTCGGTCAGAACGCTCAGATTAACTTAGTTATATGCAAAAATAGTGAGTTCATGGCTGGGCCTCGGTATCCCCAGATCACGATGTCACTCCTTATAACAGGGCTACTAGTTATTTATTATACTACCATTGTTTTTGTTCAGTGGATAATAATCATCATATTCATCGAAGTTGGATCAATCCTTTCCCTCAACTCCTAGCTTCTAATTATCTGAAAACGAATTCAAATGTTTTTAATTCAATTCAGGACATGCCAGGAAGCTAAAATTTTCAAAATGGAGTTAGTTTCCTCTTCGAGACCCTTCCGGATTCTGGAATCCGGACGAAGGGCGATCTTATTGTCCTTCCGGAAGGCTGGCACAGTCGTCCCAATATCCTTCCTGTTTCTCGGTAAATCTTTGCTAACGATTGTACAGTCACAATCGTTACTATTGAGAATGGTCTTCCATTAAGGTCAACCACTGTAATTCTTTCTTTCGTGGCTATGTTTTCTTCGTCTTGTCTGTTTCAACGAATCTTGTTCTTCTGTTTTTTCTTATTTTCAGTTGTCGCAAAACTTCAAGGTCGTGACGTGTCTTTAATTTGAAACACATTTCAAAAAATTATTATGTCACGCCAAATTGACTATTCCCGATTCGTTAAATCGTTCGATTAGTATTGCTACTCTGCTAAAACCGCCAATTTTTGCAGTTCACGATCACAATAAAACTTCAAAGTCGCCATGCGTTTTGGCGCCATACTGTTAAATGTCACAATAAGAGCAAAAGGTGATCTCTGCTTTGTTAGGGCACTCAAATTTGAATGTCAATAGAGAATCTTTGCAAATTGGAGGCAGGAAAGGCCATACCATTTGTAGGGAATCGAAAGTAGTTCTCAAGAAAAGTCAAGGTTAAAACCTAAAATTATATGAGATTTTATGATGTCTGAGAAATGACATCATTGATTTTTGATAAAGACACTCAGACAAACGACTTGTGAATTGTTAGAAAATAGTTTTACATAGTTTTGTAGATTAAGCATGTAGACAAGCATGTAGAAACGAAGTTGAGAGGATCCATAATATTGCTCAGCTAACATTAGCGATATTAAAGAGGAAAACGGGTAAACCCGGGACAATCAAAAAACCTTTGAATCTCCCGAAACCAGTTGGCAAACATACAACCATAACAGAATCTTAACTTTTATAATTTATAAATCAAAGCTATTTTCTATAAACTACTGTGACTACTCTTAGGTATATAATATAGAGAAATTGAGAAATTAATGAAATAGTGAAAAACGAATTTGATTATTTCCAACTTAGCAGTTGCACGGACACTTGCAGTGATACACCCGTCCTTCTACAGTGGCGACAGAGAAAACAACAAGAGTCAAAAATAACACGAGAGTTTTGATAAAAAACTAGAAAATAAATCGAATTTATCAAAAGTTGTCGACCAAGTTGGCAAATCAAAAGAATATCAATTGAAATGTTAAAACACGGTAAACATAAGTTCAATGATGAAGGCAGTTAGAGTAGATAAAAAATGATCGATTCGTTTTTTTTTCACTGTTTTGGCTTGTAATTTTCCAACTCTTCCTGAAAAACAAGAAGTAATTGGTTGATGTCAACAAAAATCTGAAGATAGAAGAACTGAAAAAAAAATAAAATTGTTCAAAAAAAAAACATTTTCTGAAATAACAGCGGATAAACTGTAATTGGAAAGAACTAAAAGAACGTTATTTAAAGCTGAAGTCCGTGAATAAATCCTAGAATAACTCCAACTAAAGGGATAACTTAATTAATAATTAAGCAGGTTGGGTTTAAAGTATGGCAACGATAGTTCGGTCTCAAAGATGTTATTACCGGACACATTCACTGGTTCTAACGACTTCAAAACTTATTTAACACGCTCTGAGCTATTAGTTGAACTCCAACACTGGAAATGTACTGTGAGTGGAACCGAAACTGATAAACAGCCGCATTATTTTGCGTTTAGTTTGCAGAAATCTGCAATCGAATTTGATCGTACTCTTCCAATTGCTACTAGATATAGCTATGATGAGACCGTTAAAGCTTTGTTGAAGGCATAACAGCGAAAAACCAGTGGCTTTTCAACGACGGCTTGAGCGTGCAGCAGGCAGGTGAAAAATTATTAGAATACTTTAGAGCGGGCGCTTCACCTGGCAGCTGTCATGAGAACTGGGGAATAAGAACAAGCACCGCGAATAGCAGCCACACGGAGGGATGAAGCAGAAATGATAGTAGACTCGGGGAACAGACTTGTTCAACAGATATCGGTCGGTATTGAAACCAATAACCGCAGCAGTGACGGTCGATGAGACGGCAGTCACATGGAAGGAAGTCGACGCTAAGGGAACTAATATAGGTAACCAGGTTCAAGAGATGGAGCAAGAACTCCCACCCCTAGACCAAATACGCGCAAAAGAATCCCAGGAAAGAACTATGACAAATGTCGACTATGTGGGCAAAAAGGTCATTGGGCAATGAACTGCAGTAATTGTTTTACTTGTGCTAGTTCGACCCCTTTTAAGCAAAATTGTCCTTGGAATAGAACGACGGAACAAACCAACAAAATCAGGGTGTGCTCCACTAACAAAGCCAAATGTTTCAATGTGGAGTTACAACTGAATGGCAAACTGGTAACGAGACTGTTAGACAGCGTTCGCTCATAAGTTTCGACAATTAAAAATGGCTTGGAAAACTGGCAAACCTGAAGGCTTTCAAAACTAAAATTATAGCATCCATCAATTCGGCGTTAAAATTATTTGGCATTGCATACATCAAAATCTAATTGAAGCCCAATTTCACAGAAGTTTTTGAAAACGTGGATAACTGCCTACAGTGCCTTCTTGGTCTGCCTTTCATGATAGACAAAGAAGGTTTTTTGTACATTGGGGAACAATTGCTGTACAACACGAAACATTGGACAGCGCTACCTATATCAGCACAAACAACGACTGGTGTTCAAAATTTTGCAATTGCAGCGAGAAATTAACGAGTAACCAGCAGACCTTAAAAACTGGTAAAAAAGCATCATAGATGAAAACGATACCACCCTCTGTTGCTAAGAAGGTTTTATTGAAGGTTTACAGAATTTCAAAGGAACAAACCGAACTACTTGTAGCTGATTCAATGATGAGTTTTAGCCAAAGAAAACTTCTCGTGAAAAAATCAACATACAAAATGAAGCTATTAACATATTTCATGACAGCAAAGATGCTCATTGCACCAATTAAAAAACAGGATTTGAGTAAACTGAATCTTTAGTAGCAAGGATTGACCGCTGAATCAGTAGCCTTTACAAATAGATAACTATGTTAGGCTCGGTGGTGCTTAATTTTCATCAGAAGCAAACAAGAAAGAACAGATGGGAGTTGATAGACATAACCCAGTCCTTTCATACAGTTCAGCGGACTCAGGATCTTCAGATAGAATCAAACACAAAATCAAAATGAATGCTGATGCAAAACAATTTCGGCGGGCATACGGAACTATGAACTTTGAAAAGTGGAAAGTCATGAAAAATATCGCGGAGTCATTGGAAAAAGGCAACCTAGTTGAATCAATTCACTCAAAATGCGCAGCCCCATCCTCATTCGTTAAGAAAAAGAACAGAACGCACCGATTAGTCGTTGATTATAGACGATTAAAAAGTCAGATTGAAACAAGCTGGCCTCTACCAACAATATGTGGTGTTATCGACTCATTGGACGTTAACAAGTTTTTCTCTAATCTCAATTTGCTACACGAAACTTATGGAAATTTTGGTTACGTAAAGACTTTTCAAAGGTTCAAAGAACTCAATAAAAGTTAAACAGAACTAAAACGAGCAGACATATGCAAGATTGGGTTAGTAGATGTGAAAAGTGTAAAAACGAAAAGAAACCTAGACAGAAACAAGTGCATCCATTTCAGCCATGGTAGCCCAGCCACTCAATTTGGTAGGTACCACTGGATATCATGGACCGTTAACAGAATCTGAATCTTAGAAACCGTTTACAAACTGGAGAGCATTACCCTTACGAAAATAAGAAGCCCAGACAGAAACCTAGGAAAAGAATTTTAATTCGTTCTTTTTTGGATCACAAAAAATAAAAGATATCGTAAATAATCTTAATTTTGTGACTGGTAGAAAATTGTTCTATACATTTGTCAAGACTACATGACAAGCATATAG